GGGCCGAGTACCTGCCTCCGGCCCCGGCCTGGCCCGCGCTGCGCCCACGGAGGGCACCGCGGGAGCTGGACACGAGTGGGGGGGACACACGGGAAGCTGTGCACGGGGGGCTTCATATGGGTGTGCACAAATAGCAGTACATGCAGAGATGTGTGCCCAAGGGACTTGTACATGCGTGTGCACGTGGGCTCTGCCTGCCTGCAGCTCATCGTAGCATCTACGCAGGGGTGCAGATGGACCCGGCCAGGCACCCCCGCAGGGGCAGCAGGGCGCTGAGCTCCTCTGCCTGGTCCAAAACCTGCAGGAAGTGAGGGCTGGGGCAAATCCTGTCCAGGCGGAGGAGCACTGGTCCCGGAGCAGCCTGCCAGATGGATCCCAGCCTCACCTGCCTGCCCATGGAGCCTGCAGACCTGCCCCCACAGCCTGTGCATTGCCCCCCGGGCACGCCCTTAGCCATCCTAGCAGGGCCAGTCTGGTTTATTGCTGACAGAGGATCCATCAGGGATCAGGAGTGGTTCCCAGGATGATCCCTGCAGCTCTCTGGGGACTGTTCACATCTCTGGGCTTTTGTCACTCCTACCATGTGATGAGTTTGGGGGTCTGAGCCTATCCTTTGGACTGCCTGGTCCAGCCTCACCCCAGGACAGAGCTGGGCAGGGCCAGCAAAGGTGTATACTATGCCCCCTCCTCCCCACAAATTAAAATGGATGTTTGCATGTACTGAGGGCTCATGAGGTGGCAGCCAGCGTCACATCAACCTGAAGATGTTCTTCAGATTCTTAGCCCCGGATACTGTGCTTAGAGCAGGGCACACAGCCTGAGCCAGGGCAGGGTCCTGTAGAAATCTCCCGAAAGTGGTGTGAGGTGCCGTGTTGTTGGGGGAGCGGGAGAGCCTAGCACTCTTGTGCCAGAGCAGGGAACCCACAGAGTGCAGTGGGAACCTGAAGCCCAGCCAGCCCTTCAGGCATGTCCTGTGCCCACCGTGCTGTGCAGCACTGACTCCAAGGTCTTGACCACACAGAGCCCCAGTCTCTGGCCAAGCACAGAGGTGACGTGTAAACAGAGTGGGCTGTCTGGGAAAAAGCACCCACCGGAGATGATGCAACTATACTGCAAGGGGCAAAGTTCTCAGCTGGCTGGGCCTGCTGGCAGCTCCCAGAATAGCCCAGGAATGTCAACAGGGAGGAAAGAGTGGGCACAGCCTGGCCTGGGAGCACAGCTCCCACAGGGCCTGTGAGCCCCAGCTGCAGGCAGCACACAGGCAGCACTGCCTGGGCACCACAGGACTGAGCAGATGGCACTTTCATCCAGGCAGAGGTGCACTGTGCATGCTCACAGTGCACATGCAATCACTTGCACAGATGCTCAGTGGTACATACCACATCTGCACACTCCCTTGCAAACACATGTTCAGTCCCCCATCCCAAATATTTGGATACATGCTCCGTTTGTGGACACGCTCACACATGTACCACATGCCCATTCCCCTGCCTTTTATTCCATGTTGCCATACTGGAAGTGGAGCGTTTCCTTTCTGACTCTCAGGGCAGGTTAAATTCCCCACAGGGCAGGGCTGCTCCTGCCTTCAACCCATGGAGGAAACCAGGTCCCTCTGCCTGACGCTCTCCTCACATGCAGCAAGCTGGAGGGAGCCCCAAGCTGCATCACTGAGTGGCGCTGGCCCAGGTGCCAGGGCAGGGGGGGGTCGTTAAAACCTCTGTGTCACCACCACCTCCCAGCAGCCACACCACAGCTTCACACATGCAGGAAAGGGAAACTGAGGCATGATGCCGTGCTGAATTCCTCCTTCCCTGCCAGATCTGCAGAGCCAGGATCAGGGCTGTGGCACAGCATAAAACAGGAGGCAAAGAGCTGTGGCAAAAAGGGTGAATTACTCTCTAACCCACCATCCTTTCCAGGCTGGGGAGCAGGGTCTCCCCAAAGGGATTAATCCCTTCAAACCTGCCAGGATCCCTCTGCACTCATCAGCACCCCATGGCTGCCCCCATGAATCCCCATTTCACCTCCAGCTTAGCAAGAACATCCGATCTGCCTGCCCCCTCACACCGCAGCTGCATGCACCCCTGTGCACTCTGGCCCACCAGATCTAGGCCAGGGGTCAGCGCGGAGCTGTGAGTGGTTCTTGCACCCATTGCATAAGTGTGTTGTTGATTAAGCAGTTCCCAGAAAGCAAAGCCCAGGGATCGGCCTGACCAAAATACCCCTTCTGGGTCCCCCCAGGCCCAGCACTTGCTGCACACACGGCTTCTGGGCCTCTGACCTCATGTCTGGTGGGGCAAGCGTGGCACCTGACAACCTGACCGAGAGGTGCCAACGGACTGGGTTAAGCAGGATCCCCCCCAAGAGCTCATGCACCAGCACCTGAGCATGGCTCCTGCCAGAACACCCACTTCTGCGCTGCTCTGCCACCGATGTCAGCCAAGGAAGTGCCAAAGCCAGCTGTGACCCTTGCCCGGGGGCCATGGCATAGGCCAGGCTCCGGCACTGAAAAGCTTCGTCCCCACAGGCCCCTCTTCCCTGGAGCAAGTGCTGGAGGCCACAAGCTGGAGGAGTATCCAGGCTGGAGGCTTGGGGGAACAGCTGACAGGGCTGGCAGCGCAGCAAGTGCTGGAGCAAGTGCCAAAGGCTTCCGCAGGGGCAGTGCCGCGGGGGGCAGTCCGTGCCCCTGGGGTCGAGGGGCCAGCACAGAGTGGGAGGCCGGGGCAAGGACTGGTGGAGGGCTAGAGGCACTGGGCTGGCGGGGCCGGGCAGTCCGGGGTCCAGCCGTGGGAAGGGAACGAGGCCAGGGCTCACGGCCAGGGAGGGAAGGTCGGTGGCCGTGCTTCCCTCGGCG